TGGATTAGTTCGAGAAGCTGTTAGAGCTATATCAAAAGTATGCAATATGAAAAATAATATGATTCGTCAACCATATGAAACTCTGAGCGGCTGTTCTTCCTCGGTGGAAGGCAGGCGAGAAAAGTTGCTCTGAAGAAGGCGATTCTGCCGAAATGTCAGCTACGATTGTGTTGTGTGTTATTGTATGGAAGTAAACGTGTGCTGTTTAACAACCTCGCGATTGCTGAGAAAGAAAACGACGAATTCAAAATATGAAGTTGCGCAAAAATTATGGGAAACATGTGAAAAAAGGAGATAAAAAAGAAAGACGCTAGGAAGGAAATTAAAGGGAATGCGGTAAAAGTTCCTATTGAGTAGTTATGAAGGTGACAGAAATTAAGTTCCAGCAACAACAAGGAAAAAATCGCTGCTAATGATAAACACTCTTTAGACCATGCATTTGCTTGAACGGATCCACTCCTTGCAGTTGTCCATAAGGGTGAAAAACAAAGCGTTCAGCATTCATCATTTTCATAGCGATATGATTTTGACATTCGTTTCTATTCATAGTAGAGTATAGGTGAATGGACACGTATTTTCAATATAACAACCTGAAGGCACCTTCTAAGTATCAGTCTGTATCAAGTAAGTGTTTCTTTCTTCCAAGAAAAGTTTGGTGCTAACTATATGACCTCGGAGCGGCGGAGGGTTTGGGGAACTTGTGATCGAACAATTGACCGACTCATGTAATTATTGCCGGGCATTTGTAACCACTGGACGATGAATGAAGCAAATGGACAACGAATCATTCCGAAAAGGCAGATATGCACAATGTCAACTAAAGAATGATCTACGTCTTATGAAGTGCGTTCACAGCAAGAATCTTTACGCAAAGCTTTCTGCACATCGACCGCTATAAATCACCAGAGGTAAGGTGGTTTTTACATTGGTTTGCGTACCTAAATTCTTTAGGCACCAAACTTTATAATTTATGAAACATCGGACGCTCATGAGCACAATTCTTGCTTATTTGGCTAATAATTTTTTGGTCACGCAAAAATTTCTTTCCACAACAGCTTAAGAGTTTTTCTAGGTCGTGATGGGTTGCAGGTTATGACTGTGTTGTTGCAACATCGGCAATGATTACTGGACCTAACTTACACCTTAATAGAATATGTGAAAACGTCTATCTAGGCTGCATGGGGAGAACCCTGCTATACGTCGCAGTCTTCATTAAGAACATCCCCTATCATCCTGAGAGGCAGTGTAGTGGTGTAACATTGGAAAATTCGGTCACATTGCCGTACTTATGAATCTGCTGACGAAGAGGATAGGACATTCCTTAGTGATGAAGCAAATTTGCTCTGTGATGCCACTAACAGACGTAGTCCAGTGAGTACCAGTTGATATCAATTCTATAGTGGTCAACAACTTGATCGACTCAGGACTAGCTGCACGGCATTTTCATTTTGCTTGGATAATGTGGGATTCGACTCCACATGAGATATTTAGTGGAGAGCTCATAGAAAGCGGTGAGGGTACAAAGCTGATACTTTGTTTCTAACGCGATTGAAATCTAGGCTTCCTTTTTTTCTGTCTTGCTTATGAACGTGCCTGGCTGATAGATAGCATTCAAACTGACCTTTCCAGAATGTGAAGGAGGCGAACTCCTCCGAAACGTCAGCCTTTTCGTGAATAAAAAGTAATTTCGTGATTATTTGTTAATAAAAACAACAAAATACTAGTAAATGGGAAATACCTTATTTAGTGCACATTGAAATATGTTAGCACTACTATCTTTCTTGCGTCTCTCGTAACATTTGACCATCATGTTGACGTCAGCTTTACAAAGCCATCATCGCCTTGCTGCACAGGTTATTGCAGTGGTTCGATTGGTACGAAAAAGAAATTAGTATTAGCAAAAACGTTTGCGTTTCCAGAAAACCCTGTCCACGAAAATTCCAGTGTGTAGTAGAAGAAAAGTAATTTTTCTATCCTCATTGCTATCCGCATAAAACGGGCGTGTGTGGCGCAGTGGTAGGAGGCGCCCTGCGACACAAGGGATCGGTCCCGCACCCGTCTCTCACCTAGTTTTCCATCCATACGGGGTCGGAAAACTGCTACCAGACTTACCTGGAAAGACAGCAGCACTTGCTCGATACATCGGTAGGCCACACCGAGTCATTATAAAGTCCAGTGATGCATTCAGTAACCTCCAACGATGCTTAAGTGGAATACAGGGTGCATACCTCAGAGATTGATCAACGCCGAGAGCTCTATCCCTTTGATTATTTTATTTTTGTGGAAGACGATTCATAGGGAAATGATCGAGCTACTATTCCACATCTTATGATTATACAACTAAATTAAGAACGTGATAAAAATAGATGTTGCGAAAGTTAATAACCTGGACGTCCATAGGATCAAAATTATAAATTTGTCGTTGAGCTGGGACATATTCTTTGGGAGGAATATGTTGCTGCAACGGTAAGCCATTGGTTGTCGTCTGCGTAGTCATGTGACCATGCGACGACATATTCGGTCTAGACTAGAAGTTGCAAATTAAACAAAGCTTGAAACATATTCACAAACTAATTCTCACATTGCTGATAACTTGTTGGAAACACAAAGGCGAAGTGGATATTTGTGTTCACAGGCTGGATTCCTAGAAAACAGAGTTTTCTTTGGATTGAAGTTACTGTTATTTTACATGCAGACAAAAAGTGAAGGACAAAAAGTGAAGGAGACAGCCGAAAGGATGTATACGTATAAGGACGGACGTATAAGGAAAGGACGTATAAGCTCGATAGAAGAGTTGATCACGCAAGCAAGAAGGACATGTTACGACGTCGTCGGCTTGACAGAGAAGAGGCCGTGCTTTCCATTCAGCGCTCTCTATGACACCGGAGAATAATTGTTCCTCGTAACATGAGACAGTAGTGTAGTCGGCGGCGGGGGCGTTCATGTCAACACGAGTTTGTCCACGAACATTGGTTCATTCGAGCAACTAACAATTCGAATCGTACGTTTACGATTAAAAAGATATGGATCAATACTTGCTTTGACAATCATCGTCGTCTACGTGCCGACATCAAACTATGACGGAGAAGAAGCCGGAGGGCTCCATACGGACTCACAGATGTTCTACAAAGAAGACCATAAATACCTTAAGGTCATCGTTGAAGATTTCAACGCTAAAATTGGATTAAGAAGAACGTCTGAATAACGTAACTTTGGGACACTCGGTTTACATTGGAATGAGCAGGGTGAGCGGCTGTCTGGGTTTATCATGACGACCAAGCCCGTCCATGGTACCTCGAAAATCCAGAGGCACCACGCTCACTGCTGAGCGTGGGAGTGTCTCAGCGGAAACTACCATAACGATGTAAACCACAAAAGGTAATGGATGAATTTTTCGGCGTTAATCAATCTCTGAGGGATGCTCCAAGCATTCGATTTCACTAAGCATCGTTTGGAGGTGATCGAATGCATATCTGGCCTTCGCAATGACTCCCGGTGGCCTACCGATGTATCGAGGAGGTGGTGCTATCCTCCCAGACATGTCTATTACTAATTTTCGGAACCCAGAGAAAATGAAGGCTTGGTGGGCACTGGGCGCAGAGATCAATTCCACGTGTGTGTTGAAGGGCTCCTTCGAACACTGCGCCATGCGCCTCTTAAGTAGATCATATCGTAGTAAACAGGAGGTTTTGCCTTATCGATTCGCTGTTGTACTAAAATTCCACATCAAATCAGACCACCACCTCCTTCGTGCTAGATTCTATTTTTGGAGCAAAGAAGGAAAAGCTGCTAAATTCAAAAACGAAGTCCCAAAACCACCGTTAACTAGGACTTATTCATTTCACTGGTCGGCTGTTGGGAAGATACCGTTCTCGACAACATCGACGAAGAATACGAACGGTTCATTCAACATCTTCACGTTAGCGCTATGAAAGCTGAGATTTCGAAAGTCACCAAGAGACGCCTGTCTCCAGAAACACTCAAGCTGATACGCCAGCGTGGAATCGCACAAGCTGCAGACAACCGCGAACTAACGTCCGAACTTGCAAAACGATGCGGACAGGCGATAAATGAAAATCTTAGAGAGAGAAGAGCAGCAGTAATGGCTGAAGCTGCAGAGGCTGGGAAAAGCATTCGCAAAGCCCATCGAGACTTCGCCAATTACAGGACCAAGATGATTACACTCCAACGCCAATACGGAGCAGTTACAGCGTCTAGAAAGACAATGGAGAAAATCATTTACAAATACTACTCACATCTTTTCAATAGTTACGTCCTCCTTCCCTTATATGAAATAAAGGACGATGGATATATTGTACCACCGGTTCTCCCCTCCGAAACCGAAATGCTATTTCGTCGGTGAAAAATCGAACAGCACCAGGTCCAGACCAGACAGGAAGAGATCCGAATACTTAAAGAGCCCTCCGCCAGTGCTCGTAAACCCAGTGTCTCGACTGTTAACACGTTACATATCTGCATGCAAGGTCCCTGCTCAGTGGAGTGCAGGCAAGACCGTGCTATTCTTCAAGAAGTGTAACATTCACGATATCAGCAAAATCTGCATGCTGTCTACAAAGTTTTCACTCGAGTCATCCTAAACAGGATTGGCAGAACACAGGACGAAAAGCAGCCATGTGAGTAGTGAGCAAGCAGGGATTCGAAATGGACTTAGGACGATGGACCGCATCAATACGATAACAAGACTCATTGAAGTATCGCGACAGTACAAACGACCGCTCTGTCTCACTTTCATCAATTTTAAGAAGGTCTTTCACTCAACTGAGATAGAAGAAGTCATGGATACCCTTGGTAGCCAAGGAGTCCTCCGTCAGAACGTCATGCAAACATTGGAATGGAATAATATGGGAGTGAAAATCGATGGTCCGCAGTTACACCTTCTTCGCTCTGCTGATGATGTCGTCCTTATAACACCAAACATTAGCCAAGCGGAACGTTTGCTTGCCGACTTAGACTTCGACTAATTCTCAAAAACGATGTTCATGAGGAACGGATTGGTTTCGTATGTCCCATTCACGCTCATTGGAACAAATGTCTCCGAATGCTGCAGTCACGTCTACTCAAGTCGGGAAATCAGTATGGTGAACGACTTGGCTTCAGAGTTGGGCAGAAAGAAGCGAGCGGCTTGGAGAGCTTTTAAGAACACCGACGGCGGATTGAAGAGAACAAAGAACACCCGACTCCGTGCCCACCTTCCCGACTCAACAGTATTTCCTACTTTGATGTATGCGTCAGAAGCCTGGTTGCTGCGTAAGCAGGATGAAAGATCACTTAGCGTTATCGAACGCGCAGTCGAAAGGACGATGCTAGGAGTATCCCGTTCCACACAAGTGAGGGAAGGAGTCCGAAGCTCGGACCTGCGTCAACGATCAAAAATCAAAGATCCCGTTCTGTACGTCAAACAGTTGAAGATGATGTGGGCCGGACACGTAATGCGTTTGAATGACAACCGATGGACAACAGCCGTTAGTGACAGGATTCCTCGGGATGTCAAACGTGCTGCAGGAAGACCGCCTGCCCGACGGTCAGAGATTTTCACGCAGAGCCTAGGAGAAGGATATGATGCTCATCGATTCCCTAGAGCGAAGAGAACCCACTGGGCTACTCTTGCACGCGTCATCGAAAATTGGAAGAATTACTGGCGCCCGCTCGAATCGGTTGACGATCAACGCGAAATCAGGTGATACAGGTGAAAGGCTGAGCCTCATTATGGGATTACTGCATCTCCAATCTTTCAAGAGCAATGCACTGCCGGCTTTACCGATCTGAAAGCTTTTCATTTGTCTCTTATCACTCAGCGGGTGTCCGAGTTTGTCACTCGGCCAATGAAAATATTTTTTCGTTTAAACCGCCATGGTGATGAATCATAGTTTACCAACACCCTAGAGAAATGAGTGCAGTTGAGGAAAGGTAGACAGATAAGTTGAATGAATTAAGACGTATCATTATTAGGTACGGAGAGAGGAAGGAAACGCTTGGTTAGAGCAAATACTAGTCTATTTTCTGTGTTTTAGATTAAATTTTAACCTACTCTCCCTGACGGCGGTTGCCCAACAAGGCTTTTCCACTAGAGACTTTAAAGAACTAAAATTTAAAAAAGATTAAGATTGGAAATAATGATCCTATGCGCATTACTTGCTAATGAACATTCCTGATTACTCGTAATACGACGAAAGACAAGATAACAGGAAAGCAACAGATAGCAAGCCGAAACTGTCCAAGAACTTGTCACGTGGTGAAACAGAATAATCAGGAATATTAACCTTTTTATTTACTGTCCAGTCTTTTTTTAACGGCAAAGTATTCTGCAAAATATAAGTACTGTAATGCTGAGATATTTGTAAACCTCCAAACCGCAGGTGTCTGCGGTTGAGAACGAACGCGCTATTTTACTTTCCGGGGAGTAACGCGTTCGCCACCACACCATGCGGGTCCTTCGTTTCGCCTGCTTCTCAGCTAGTTTTATACCTCAGTTTTGCAAATATTTCAGCATTATAGTAGTTATATTTCGCAAAATACTTTGCCGTTAAAAAAAGAGTAGGCAGTAAATAAAAAGGTTAATATTCCTGATTATTCTGTTTCACCACGTGGCAAGTTTTTGGACAGTTTTGGCTTGCTGTCTGTTGCTTTTCCCTTATCTTGTTTTTCGTGGTATTACGAGGATCTGCTCCTTTGAGAGCGTAACCACTGCTGCAGGACTAGCTCTGGGCGCCGTTTGTGGACGACTCCTCGCTTTTTTTGCATTTGGCCTCGGGAAGTAGGTTTAGAAGCATTTTCGACTCTTCGATTGAACTGCTCGGAGAGACTTCTGCAATTCGGTTTCATGTTACCAACTCAATGTATTGGAGAATTGTGTTAAATGAGCAATGTTTGCGCTATTTTGGTCGACCTATATGTCCACGTGATCCAAGGACTGTGTGTGGACGGTCACTAGTAATAGTGCTATTGATACTGTGGAGCGCTATTAAGTCCGTGCTTCAGGCGGGATTGTTTTTGACTCCTGAAACTAAGTAAATCTTAACAATAAAAATTTCTATACCGAATCGATGTAGCTGCACTTTCAGTAGCATTCGAGAACTATTTTCGTTTTTCAACGTTACAAAACAGAGCGGCATTATGAGAAATAACATCGAAGGTCCATATTGAAAAGTTCTCGGATAGTTGCCCTATTTTATCATAGTTCACCAAAAGATTTCTTCCAACTCCACTGCACATCCTACTACTTTTCGTTAGTATAACCATAGTAAATCGAATCGGCAGTGTCTACCAAACTATTGCCACGATATATTAATAACAATGAAAAATTTTAGTATTTGTCTAAAGATCCCGAAAACCCCTCGGGTGGTAGTAGATTTGTTTTCCCAGAAAAATACCTAGCGCTGATCAAGTCGGATTTGGTGAACTAAAACTTCGGCAGCACTGATAAAAATCTGACAGTGGTTCGTTCGGAAATTTCGCGCCAAATATCATGCTCGAACTGACTGCATCGTCAGCGACGAGATCCTATTGCGTCTCCTCGAAAGGCCATTCTTCCAACTGAGAATCGTCTAAAGTGAATGGATAACATAACAGCATGACGAATTATTTTTTCTTTTAGCATGCTCAATAAAATATGCGAACTAACAGAAGATGTAGTGGAGTGGACCATCTCAAATGCAACTAGCGCGAAATTTGAGTTTCAGACATGTTCTTCGGTACTTGTGTGTCCTTCTGTATACCTACGTCACTAATTTGTCTTGTAAATCATACAGTAATCCGACAAATGAGCTCTACTTTTGTAGTAACAAATCCGCCTAATTGCTGCTTGTCGCTCATAACCACGAGCAGCGTTCCGCTTTGGAATGGTGCCTTTCGGTCTTTTTTCGTGCTGCAGGAACTACATGGTGGTTACCGCATTTTGTCAAGGCACAGGCTTACTCTTATCAACGTTTCGAAGTGAAAAATGCGAACGCCGTTCCAGTCTTCCTCTCGAATGCCTTGCAAGCTCCTACTCTAATTTTTCTGCTTCCTTCTCTGGATCTCTATTAGACCCATTTTGCTGCTTAAAATTCCATTTTCCCACTTTTTAAGGTCGAACTCTCATTTAAAATATGAGCAATATTTCCGACTTCAGAAAGCAACGAAAAACTTCCGTAGGTTCTCATCCAGTTTTGGTGCACATGCAATACATTGTCAAATTAACCAGGTAGAATGCAAGAAATGTAGGTAGAAACTCCCAAGTCCGACTTTCTATTAACCTCGGCATTGATTGAATATATCTTTCTACTTCTGTTCAGCAAGCACGAGGTTATTTTACTTCTTTATTTACGCACAAGCTGACTTTTCGGTGGATTTCGCCTTCCTCAGAGCCTGGAAGGGTCAAGTTGACAGAATCCATTCGGCCAAACACCTCCATAACCAAACAGAGAAAACGCTAAACCAAGATTTCAATCACATTTAGCATAGCTCTGCACACTCACCGCTTTCTATGAGTCTTCCACTGAGTATATCGCGTGAAGACCGACCGCACAGAATTCACATGGAAGCGTAATGTGCCCCTTCCATCAGAATAACAGGTTTATATACTGTCCAATATCACGCATGATAACGAGGCATTCCTCCCTGCGGTTTATTTTCGGATTCTTGGAATTAATCCAGAATGCCTCTAGAGTTTTGCGCGCTTGTGTTCACGATTCTTGCGCGAGGATCGTAACCCTTACTTCAAAATTTTCTCCGTTATGTTTCTGAGTGCTATGCGTACCTAGTGGAGTACCCTACAGGTAGAAACATTATGAATTAATTTAATTCTTCAAGAAACTCACATTCCGTGGGAATGGTGTTCAATGAGGATGACGACGTTTCCATGCAATCCGATGAAGATCGCTGTAATTTCGAAGTTTCGTGTGATATCAAAATGCTGTGCACTAGACAAGTTCTACAGCGGACAAATGATATATTCATTATCTGGTCTATCAAGATAGATTTCTTATTTGTTCCACTTTTGTACTCCTTTTTGTAAAGCCACTTTCACCTACTCTGCTCTATAACCGATGTATTTTTACGCTGTTTTAAAAGATGTCAACAAAAATAAACATGAAATTTGTAGTAGACGGCACGAACAATTAGACGAACCAATCTACCTCTTTGTCGTTTCTTCACCTTCTTTCGTGACGCCAAGAAAAAGCCATTCATCTGCTCAAACATGAGTGATTACTGGCGTCACTATAGGGTGAAAAAGCGGCTAAAAGAAACGTGAAACAAGTTCCTCCATTGTGCAATGCGAAGCATGTGAGCCTGATGAAAGGGTAATTGGAGGTTCGGTCTGGCTTGGAATCCAAATCTTGCAAATATCTCAGCATCGCTGTGGTTCCATTCCATATCTTACCTTGTGACACAAATGATTACGGACCTAACCCTAAACGCTTAATTGTTAAATGACGCAAGATCAGTAAATAGAAACTTTTGTGAGTTAATAAGTGAAAGCGTGCTAATAGTTGAATTTTAAGTTCGAGAATAACCGATAGTTTCAAACCCCGTGCTTGATTTTCGCTACTGGTTATTAAATTCCTTTTCGAATTATGCGCGATAAAAGGAAGTAGCTCCAAGCGGTTTTTCCACCATCTCAAGATCTAGCTGAAGAGAATGATTGCAAACTAACTACACATTTCACTAACCATTAGTGCAATATTCGTCGACTTTAATGGTTTTTCTACCTGTCGTATAGCGCATTTCTGCGTTGTTGTGTGGGTGGAATTAGAGTTTTTTCCTTATGGTTGCAAGTACTTTAGAAGTCTCTACCGGGAACATGTGAACGTTGTCATCTGTCCGGCAGTTGAATTCTTGTTCTCTGAAGAATTTCGGTTTTGGTTTTTCTACTGAAGTTATGGAAGTGTTTGACAGCATGAGACTGTAACGTCATTGATTCCAACTTCCTTCCCGGCTTGGTTTCTGAATTACTTCCTGTAGAAAGAGTTATCAGTATTTTTGAGGAAGTTATGGTCGTTGAGCGAGAGGACTGACGAGCATGGTGGATAAGGCAGAGTTTCCTTGCCTTACTCGTTCAATGTTTTCAGCGCCGGTGTGGCGAGGTTTGTCGTCACATTATCGTTGAGCGCTATTTCTGCCTTTCTATTGACAGGTGCAGTACACAGTAGTTTACGTTTCTGGTGAATTTTGTCAACTTCGTTGACATACTTTGTCGACATAATCTTCTCCACCTTAATGAAGAAGGAATGTTAGATTAAACCAACAACAAACCATGCGTGCGCCAACATGACTTTCTTGTGGTGCGATTTAACATTTTGGAAAAGCTGTGTGAGCTTCGTTACGCTAGAACCATTGCTTGGATCGTTGTCTATTCTCACGGACGATACGTGCCACATTACAGTAAGGTGGTGGTGTAACAGGTTGTTTTGATTACACAGACCAAACGCTGAAGACATCTCAAAACGAAGATTTCTTCCACAGTCTTTCGGCTTGCATGACATCCATTTGTTAAACCCGTTGACATTTTAAATGAGTTTAGATACTCCAAAACAGTTGATTTGCCTGCAGTGATTTCGTCTACAAATTCTAGATCGGTTGCTTTGATTTGCTCACGCAGAAGGTTTCAATGCTTTGTCGTTAATAGAGAGTGGATATCTGGGACATTTCTCATCTTAACAACCGAATTGGCCAGGCGAATTTCTTCAAACCAAACAACAGA